TCTACATAAAGTACACAAATTAGCTGGGTATGATGGTGCACACCTGTAGTCCCAGCTACTCACCACACTGAGGTGAGATCTCTTGAGCCCAGGCGGCCAAGGTGACAGTGAGCCAAGGTCATGCCACTGCACTCAAGACTGAGTGAGACCCTGTCTGGAGGAAAAAAAAAAAAAAAGGCTAGGGAAGAGGCGAAATGCCAGGGGCTGTCTTGACAGAAATCTTCTTAAAAAAAAACCGTGCTAACTAAGGGGTCTTGTTTTCCTTGGCATGTTGGGAACAAGAGCAGACCTCTTATCTGGACCCTTCAATCTATGGTCCTGACTGGTTGACACTGGGACTATGCTTAGCAAATCTGTGACCGCAGGGCTAATAGAAGACAAATTAGTCTTCCGTTTCTAGCAATCGATAATCTGAAAGTCTTTCTGCAGGGAGATAATTCAGGGAGAAAATTCAGGGGGAATTACACTCGAGTTTTGAAAGGCATCCTTAACTCATGTCTGAAGGATCAATTAGTATAAGAACTAAGTTACTTTGAAGTTACTAAAAAAAAGTAACATGGTCTATTTTCCATTTTACTTGAAACAAATACAACTGTGCTTATATTTCCACTTAATTCACTTTGAGAGGGGATGTAGAGTCTGCTTTTCAAAGAAAACCATATGTAAGATTAGTAACATTCAAAGCTATCATGTAGCAGATTTATGAGAACTCTACTGACACATGGTTTTGGCTCCACTGGGAAATGGAGGGGAACGGGGCCAGCAAAATGTATTTAACAAAGAAATTTTACCCATCTCACTGCCACAGACTCACAAAGACTGGCAGAAATGAGTAACAGCAAGGCTTATAATTAGGTGCCCCTTTCTGCTATGGAATGCTATGACTGCTGTTAGATGAAACAGAATCTCACTAATTCTAACTTTGCTAATCTGCATTTGCAATAACTCATCAAACAAGCAGTCTCACCCCATTTCTCTGCAAAGATTTTGTAGTCAGGAGCAGTGGTGAGGTCTCAAATCATTAAGGCTGGATTACTTTTACAGAGGACTGCAGACGACAGCACATTTGCCAGGACGTGATGCAGTGCCATCCATCACTTGTAAATAACAATACCTGTATTTGCACGGCACCTTTCTTTAACACTCTTCAGAAGCCTTTACAAACTGCCTCATTCGTCTCCCACCTTGGGAGGAGGCACCTGGCCAGTGACAGAGTCGTCCGACGGGTTGCTGAAGTTCCAAAAGGCAACAGCCTTTCTAGCTGCTCCCACTAGGTCACTAGCTCAGGCGAGTTGGCAACAGATAGTCCAAACAGTTGGGTAAGGTTTTTTTTTTTTTCAGACTAAGTTTTCGCTCTTCTCGCCCAGGCTGGAGTCCAGTGGTGTGATCCTGGCTCACCACAACCTCTGTCTCCCAGGTTCAAGAGATTCTCCTGCCTCAGTCTCCGGAGTAGCTGGGATTACAGGCACCCATCACCACACCTAATTTTGTATTTTTGGTAGAGACGGGGTTTCACCATGTTGGCCAGGCTAGTCTTGAACTCCTGACCTCAGGTGCTCTCCCCACCCGCGTCTCCCAAAGTGCTGGGATTACAGGCGTGAGCCACCACACTCGGCTCTGGGTCACGTTTTTAAATGGCACTGTGCTCGGTATCTCAACAGTAAGATGACTGCTGATTTCATGAGTTAAACGTGCCAAGTGCTTAGAAGTGTGTCAGCACATTGTGACACTGAACAAACTTCATTAGTGTTTCCACTAGTCTGCTGCCTGAACCGGCTGAGAGGACCACCTGCATCCCTGTGCACAGTAGAGAGCGCTCAGAGCCAAGGAACTTGTGGGCCGGGTATGCTATGGGGGCAGTGAGGGGTGAGAAGAGGCCCTGGGGAAACTCAGGAGCGCTTATTAAGTATTTTGTGCTGCCCCAGGGAATAAAGAGATGGAGAAGACTCAACCCCGGAAGCAAGAAGACGACAGGCAAAGGTTAGAGCACGAAGGAAAACAAGGGGATTGCAGGAATGTACAGGAGGAGATATGGGCCAGACAGCAATAAAGAGAAGACACAAAAGAACATTAAGATAGTCACTGTAAGAGAATTTTATTATTTCTGATTGAGCACTGAGGCACAAGTCTGTTATTCAATTTAAGCACTTAATGAAAGCATTCTCAACATTTTTAAGGCAGTGATTTTGGTTTATGAACTGTGCTCTTGGCAATCCTTGATGATTATCCTTTATTGCAGTGGACCGCCTTTTTTTTTTTTTTTTTTTAACTATCTACCCTTCAGAGCTACCTACTGTCTGGCAATGCCAGACTAAACAAGAACACCGGAGCTTCCTGCCAAAAAACACACACAGTCCTCTGTAACACCTGGGAAAGTGCATTTGAGGGGTGCTGCTGGCATTTGAGGGGTGCTGCCGTCAGGCCCCTCCTCTTAACTATCGTCTTGGAGACTGATGACAGACGGTGACAGCCACAAGCCAAGAGCTCACCCCATAAGTCTAAAGGAGCTGCCCTGAAGTCACTAGAGGAGTTTACCTGTGGGATGAACAGTGCTGGTACCCTGACGCTGAAGAGGGCCAGGAGAGTCATGGCAGCAAACGCAGCCCCTCCTTGCGACTTGCCCCCGAGGCCCAAACCTCGCATTTCATAAAGGAGAAAAACTGACTCCCAGTGAAGCGTGAAGTGATGTCCTCAAACTCAGAACCCAAGCTCACTGCTACACTAGCACAAATAAGCTGCCTCTTCCCTCCTGAGGGGTAAATAAGCTACTTACTCTGTAATTCACAAAGCCTAGCTGTTTACTCTGCAATCAAAAGAAAACCAGAGTCCAGAAAGAAATTTTTCCCAGGGAGTGACTATGTACAGTTTATACCTCTGACCTTAAAAATCTCCATATGGGCACTTTGGAAGGCTGAGGTGGGTGGATCACCTGAGGTCAGGAGTTCGAGACCAGCCTGGCCAACATGGCAAAACCCGGTCTCTACTAAAAATACAAAAATTAGCCAGGCGTGGTGGCAGGTGCCTGTAATCCCAGCTACTCGGGAGGCTGACACAGGAGAATCTCTTGAACCCAGGAGGCGGAGGTAGAAGTGAGCCAAGATCATGCCACTGCACTCCAGCCTAGGTGACAGAGTGAGACTCTGTTTCAAAAAAAAAGTAATAAAACAAAACAAAAAACAAAACAAAGAAATCCTCCATATGGGTATATCCCTGTATGCAATTTAATTACTGTACTTTGGTTCTGTATCATTCCAATAGATATGCTTTAATGTAATCCAGGTCCTGGAGAGCGGAGGGCCAGCGCAGTTCCTGGAGGCAGCCCTGCCCCAGGTGGAAATCAAGGCGCTCCTCCCCATGGAGGACAGGGACCCGCTGTGGTAGAACAGAAGTCAGTTATCCTTAAAGGAAATCCCATTAAAAAAAAAATCTCCCTTTGAGGTACTTTTTTTTCTTTTTTCCTTAAAACCAATGCAACACAAATTCCCCCAAAGCCCATTTTCCACCCAGTGGAATGATTTTCTAAAACCCCATGCCTCTTAAGTTCTCTGGCATCAGTTAGACATTTTTCTTTTCTAGTGCCAGTTAGTTTTGTCGTAGAGAGCTTCCATCACCACCGAAAAATATTGCCTACTCTGGACTGCAACATATTTAAAGAACCGCTCCTATTCGTTGTGCTGGGGCAAGGAATTCCCGCCCTACAGTAGAGGACAGCAGAGAAGGATAATGGTAATTTTTTTTTTTTTTTGAGATGGAGTCTCGCTCGCGTTGTCGCCAAGGCTGGAGTGCTTTGGCTCAATCTTGGCTCACTACAACCTCTGCCTCCCTGGTTCAAGTCATTCTCCCGCCTCGGCCTCCTGAATAGCTGGGATTACAGGCGCCCGCCACCACGCCCAGCTAATTTTTGTACTTTTAGTAGAGACGGGCTTTCACCACGTTAGCCAGGCTAGTCTTGAACTCCTGACCTCAAGTGATCCACCCTCCTTGGCCTCCCAAAGTGCTGGGATTACAGGAGTGAGCCACCGCGCCCGGCCAGGAATCTTTATTGTAACAAGAAAATGGCACAAATGTGCCACCAAAAGAAGCCATGTTTCTCAAAGACTTCTGTTCCTAGAAGACTGAGTTTATGACACTAAGGTGTGCTATTAAGACCCTAAAAGAACCCCACGCATCCACACATTGAGGTGACTTGGCTTCTGAGACCCAAGGCCTTTGATCTTCTCACCAGTGTCCCTCCATATGGGCCGAATGCCACTGGAAAGGAGAGTAGAAATGGAAACAGACCCGTCTGGAGAGAGTCCAAAGTGCAAACAGGAACCGTGCCCAGAGAGAAGAGGTGGTCGCAGGAGCATGAAGGCTGCTTAGATCCCTAGGTTCTAAGACAGACCGCTCTTTCCTGGCGTTAACTTCCTCGGCTCAGAAGTTTAGGATTTGCTCAAAAAGAGAAAAAGCACCTTTGGGGAAAAAAAAAATCTGGATGTGGAAGAAACTGGCGGTGAAAGTCATATTGAGTGATTAATGATAAAAATTATTTCCGCTCCTTGGTTCTTGAATCGGTATGAAACGCTGGCAGCCTCTAATTAATCATTACCATGATATTAACACCACTGACTTTTCATTGTTTCTGTTATTTTCTTTCTAGACATCTGTACTTGTACCTTCTAAGTAAATATTATCCGCCAAAACTTTGTTACAAGTTGTGCAACTGGGTTCGCCCAAGGCACCGGAGCCCGCGCGCAATCGCACAGGTACGCGGCGGCCCGCGCGCCTTAGGAAGAAACGCGTCTCCGCCGCCGGCAAGCCGGGCCGAAGCTCAGGCGGGCTCGTCCCGGGCCTGGGCGCCCGAGCTCTCCGCGGCCCGCGCCCCTCGGGCGGACATCAGGGCCCGGACCAAGTCTCAGCGCCCGCCGGGGCCCTCCCCGCGGAGCCCCCGCCCGGCGCCCCCGGGTTCGAGCCCGCCCCCGGCACCCGCGCGTGGAGAGAAAGGGGAAACGAGTCAGTACCGGCGGGCGGGTGTCCAGCTTTAGTCTCTAGTTTCCCTTCGGGAGGCGAAGACATGGCGCGGCGGGGCTTCCGCGGGGCCGAGGCGGCGGCGCGGTTCTCGGGCCAGGCGGGAGTGCGCGAGTGAGCGCGGGTGTGAGCTCCGGGAAGCGAGCGGGCGGGAAAGCGACGTGCGTGCGCGTGGGGCGCCGGAGCCGCCTGAACCGAGCGAGTGCCACTGCCGTTAAGGGGGCGCTGCCGCCGCGTGCCGACGTGGCGCAGCCAAGCCCACCCACGACGTGCGCACTGACGTCACCGCGGCCCGCCCGCCCCGCCGGGCCGCGAGTTACGTATACGGAGCTTGCGCAGCCGGCCGTGCCACGTCGGACGCTGTGGCCGAGGGCGGAGGCGGGGGAGGCGGGGGAGGCGGGGGGGGGGCTCGGGGGGGCGGGGGGGCTCGGGGGGGCGGGGGGGCCGGGGGGGCGGGGGGGCGCGGGGGGGCGGGGGGGCGGGGGGGGCGGGGGGGGGGGGGCGGGGGGGCGGGGGGGGCGGGGGGCGGGGGGGGCGGCGGAGGGAAGGGAGAGAGGGGTGGGGGAGTGAGAGGGAGAAGGAAGCAGAGGGAGGCGGGGTCCTCGGCTGGCTGCGGGAAGTTAAGCAGGATCTAGCTGAGGATGCCTCCTGCAGCGAACGCGCTCAGCCAGTCTCCTGGCTATGCGGCGATGGCGGGGTGACGGCGCCCAACATGCGGGCTAGGGCCAGGGCGTCCCGGCGGGGAGGCAACCGTCCCCTGAGGCCCTCAGCCCCCGCCGCGGCAGGACCTAATGAAGCGCGGAAAGGCGAGCCCAGATGGCAGCGACGGGGGTGGAGAGAGCAGGAATTTGTTAAAAGAGGATGCGAGGGGAGAGCCTGCTTTCCGAGTGAGGGCCAGCGCTGCCCTCCCCCGGTATGGACCAGAAATAAAATTCTAAGCGCCGCAGCCAACGGATGGACCCTCAACTCCGCTGGTGGCCTTCTAAGTTGTCGTGAAAAACTAGTTCAGCCCTTGCTGCGAAGTGGAAGTCAAACATGGCCTCACAAATATTCGCACGGAGACCCTATGATAGACGACTCTTTAGGTCTGATAAGAAACATTTGCAGTGTATTCCCGGCTTCATCTGCATGATAACACCTTGGTCTCCAGAACTCCGTAATGCAATCCGGACATTCCCCTCTATTGAGTCCAGGTGTTTAGATAACTCTCAACCAATTGCCTATCAGAAAACCTTTAAATGTACCTATGACCCGGGTGTCCCCACTTCACATTTTACCTCCTAAAGAGGCAACCTACATCTTATGTATTGATTGATGTCTCATGTCTCCCTCAAATGTATAAAACCAAGCTGTTACCTGGCCACCCTGGGCACATGTCATCAGAACCTCCTGAGGGTGTGTCACTGCACATCCTCAACCTTGGCAAAACAAACTTCCTAAGTTGAGACCAGTCTCAGACACTTTTGGTTTTCACCATCATCTTCCTGTTGCCGTGGCTGATGCCTGGCTCTTGTGTCTTGGATCGTGTTGTTCCCGCCTGCCCCAGTGCTTTGCAACTGCTGTTAACTTCCACGCTGCCCTTGCTGGATTCACATTCAGACAGGATTAATCTCTCTAGCGAAGGAAACACAACCCCTCTCTTGACTGTACTTTTCCCTTTGACAACAAAACTGTTCAAGGAGGTTGAGCTCATCTCTTGTCACTCCCTCCAGTCCAGTTTGTTTGGTTTTCATCAAGCTCTGCAGCGCTGTCCTCAACCATGGGAGGTCCTTTTGTGGAAGTCACAACTTCTGTGCTGCCAGATCCAACTGTCATTTTCCACTTTCATTCTACTTGAGCTCTTAGTGGCACTTGATGTAGCTGGCCATCGCCCTCCTCTTTTGCTCGTCCAGAGGTGCCACATCACTGCCTTACCCTCCAGTTCTCTGGCCACCCTGGCTGCTCACTCTGTCAGCTTGGCGGTTCGCCCTCTTCTAGATTTATAAACATTTGAGTATCCCACGGCTTACTTGGCCTTCTTCTGTATCCAGACTTCCCATAGATAGTCACATGGAGCCCCGTGTGGACAACTATCATGCAGATGCTTACGGGTGACAAGTCTGCAACCCCATTTATTTCTGCCCCTGCACTGAGCTCCAGACTCACCACCATCACCACCTGCAGATGCTTACCGGTGCCAAAACTGCAACCTCATTTCTCTCTTTCTGCCCCTCCACTGAACTCCAGACTCACCACCACCACCTTGGCTTCTCTATTTGTTGTCTAACTCAGTGCTGCGCAACTCTTTGTGCATCAGGGCACACGTGGAAATGCACATAGCATACACTGGTCTTGCATTCCCCACTCCATACACACATTTCAACACCACTAATAGGATAATCGTTGGCCAGGCTGCAGTCATGACATGCTTCTCATTGTCTTGTATTCACATCCAAACTTGCAAGTGGGTGCCAGCAGTTTGGAAGAGAATCCTGAAGTTAATACTGGGGTCCTCTTTAAAGAGATACCGCGTCACTCACATTCTTAAACGTTTAAGGGTACCTAACCGATTAATTTCATGAGTAGTTTCCTTTTTATGTATGTGCAAAGGTGCTATATAATTAAAAACTCATGCCTTACGTTTTAAGCCTCAAGAACCATTTCTTGGAAGTATAAAATGAAAATTGTAAGTTGAAAGAGCACATGGTGGTATCCTTTAATTGGTAGTGTTTTTACCCTTAGTGGCACCTAAAACAAAGTTGCATGTTATGAGCCACAGCATCTTAGACTCAAATGCTAATGATAAGGAACCCTGGGGGGTGGGAGTGGGGAAGCCTTCGCAGGAAGGAGCAGAGCTCCAGAGGGGCCCTGGTGGCCCCTGGACTGCCCTGAGGTCTGACAGGTTGTGTATCTTTGGCTGTGACCTGTTCTCCAGGGTTGTACTGATTGGGAAACTCTGGTGGTGTTACAGTAGGTAGCTAGTCGGCCTGAGCAGGGCAGGAGAGGACTCTTCCCCACAACCCACACCGCTACAAATGTTGTGTGACCATCAGGTGATGGTCAAGAAGTTGTTACACCATTTCTCTAAAATAATAATTGGTTGCAGTCAGCGCCAGGGAAAGGCAGTCGCCCAGGAGATAGAAAAAACCTGAAAGTGGGGATCAACAGCTTCCTGATAAGATCTCTTTGCCACACATCAAGAGGCAAAATGGCAGAGTTTAACTGGTATATGATCTTCTAGGAACATTGGGCTGGTAAGGGAAGATTTCCTCAAGTGAGCGTGTGTACACCTCCAATAAATACACGGCCCCTGCTCACTTTCCAAGCGCTGGCAAGTCACTATGCATGTGGTCAGCCCACCCCAAGGGAAGAATCAGGGGACAAGGGACGCAAGACCCCAGAAGTATGCCAATGTATAAAACCCTAAGTCAAAGATCAAACCATGCACCCGATCTCTAAAGTTACCTGCTTGGCCATCTTCCAAGTGTACTTTCCTTTTGTTCCAGATATAAAGCTTTTTAATAAACGTTTCTTCTTCAAAGCTTGCCTCAGTCTCTCTTTCTGCTTTATACCCCTCAGTTGAATTCTTCTGAAGAGGCAAGAATTGAGGTTGCTGCAGACCCATACAGATTCATTGCCACTAACGTATTGTATTTGGGTGCTATGTGATTCAGGTACAGTCTGCTCCTGACAGTGTGACAGCCAAGTTAATTTCACGTGTTCAAAGAACTCCTGATTCTCCCACCTACCAGCAAATAGCTTCTTCTCTAGAATACAATCCAAGCTACTCATTACAGTGTGGAATAATCTGTCTACTCAACAGCATTTCTAATGAAGGAAATACTGTTAAGAAGGTAGTGAACTTCACAGACAAAAAAAAAAAAAGACATTTATTTTTCAGCTTCCCTTGTAGCTAGGGGTGGCCAAGTGACACCGTTCTGACCATGGAAATCTGCTGAGGGGTTTTGGAGGAAATTTGCATTCTTAATATGGGGACACCCCTTCCTTCTGATGACTTCATCGTTTGTACCACCTTGAATTCAGACAGAGAGCCAAAGGTAGAACAATCATATTGCAACTGTGAGGCCATCAAAGGCATGAAAATCACATGCTAAAGGTAACAGAGCAGAAAGGTCAAAGGCATGTGGGAATCTGAGGGTCCATGGAGGCTCTTCAGAGCTGTGGACTCCTCCTCTAGACTCTTTTGTTGTGTGGGAAACAAATTTCTATTAAATGAAGTCCTTGTGGTTGGTGTCTTCATGGGCAGCCAAATGCAACCCCTAGCACACATGGCGTACCAGACCCTGCATGACAGGTGTCCTACCCAACTGTGAGCTCATCCCTCTTGGCTCCTCTGGCCACACTGGCCTTTCTGAGGTTCCTCTAGCAGGACAAGCCAATTCTTCCCCTTGGGCCTTTGCATTAGCCACTCCCACTGAGACAGCCAAGCATAAAGGGGTCCCCAGAGAAACTCTGACTACCTGCACACCGGAAGAATGGGGTAGAGTCACAGAAATTTATGCCCTTTGCAGAGGAGAGGAGCCTGATGTCTTCTGTTCCCGGGTGGAACCTGGGGTTCAATCTGTGAGATGGGAAACCGGCTAGCAGGACTCTTGCTGAGAGTCCCTGTTTCCCTTTTTTCCTTTTTGCCTAATAAACTCCATTTTCCTCACCCTTCCAAGTGTCTAGGAGCCTCATCTTTCATGGTTATGTGACAAGGACCCTGTTTTTAGCTAGGCTAAGGAGAAAGTCCCACAACACCACTGCCGAGAACCGTCTCTTCCAGATCCTCACGTGGTTAACTCCTTCTCATTCTGGAATCAGCTTTTCAAGGGGCCTGCTTTGACCATCAGATGTGAAGAATCTGGGCACTCAACTCATACCTCTCTGTCTTCCTGTCTTTATAGCACTCCATCCTCATCTGAAATTCCTCATTTATCTGTCTGCTGGCTTATTGTTTTTCTCCACTGACTAGAATGTCAGCTCCATGAGGGGAGAAACCTAATCCATCTTGCCCACTAGGTATTCCCAGCACCTAAAACCATCGTGGGCACAGAAGAAGCATTCAACAGATATTTTCTCCATGTAATTCTAGAACATAGATACATTTAATTTCTCACAACTGCTACCTAAATGAAGAGTAGCGAATGATGACTAAACAGAGAATGAAAAATATATGTAGCATGTAGATGGCACATGGCCGCTAATCTTTTCTGACATTTGCTTTATCTTGTA